TCGCCCTTGGATCCCACCGCCGCCTGAGCTTTGAACAGCTTCGTACTTGAGGAGACCCCTACTCAAGTAAGTACAGTTCCTTGGCTCTAAAACAACCTCTCTATTTCTCGATACGCGGACCAAATACCCTCGCCTCTTGCCGAGACCCCGCCGTAGCCGCTACCAGTCGACATATTAGACTAGGCTCGTATCCCCGAGGGCACCGTAAAAACCCCCATAACCTGGGCCCCTCGGTTTTCTCTATATCTATTCACTACCAAACCACCCCATCACCCGGTGTAGCTAGAAGACTTAGTGTCTTGGCATCACCGCGGCTGACACCCAGTCCCCAATACCCTCCTCCATCTTGATCTCAAACCACACAACCAATATCATGACCTGTTATCTTATGCCTCCTGGGACAACTGCGCAATTTTACCTGACTGCAATTAAGTGATGCTTCAAATTAATAATAATTGAATTTTGCTCAATAATAATTATATCTGGCAGAATCAGTAATCCATCCTTTGATTAAAACAGCTCAAAAGATTATGTGCTTAGTTGCAAAGAAGATGAGAAACAACCTGAATCTGGTGTTGCCGGAGGTCCATGTGGCCTTAAAAGCTTGAAAAAGAACAATGTCTCCGTGGAGATATTGAGCCAATACTTACTGAGACACTTATCAGGTCAGAGTCTTGTCGCATGGATACAGAGCCTATATAAGATTTCAAGACCCTGCAACCAGCCAGTTAACATGTACAAAGGCAATTGATATGGTCCAAAATATCCTCCATCATTGTGAGCCTGGGTCTCTATAGTAACAACAGGACACAAGATATGGGGGGCACTTTTATATGTATTTCTTATGAGAAGAGGGATACAAATAAAAGTAAGAGAAAGGGAGAAGAAGAGTGAAAGAAATAAATGATATTTTTGTTCTTTGTTTATTTTAAGAATATGATTAATGTTCTGGCAGTCTTACAGTCTCTTTTTGGATGGCTGCTGACAGTCTTACTTTCCTTAGTAATATGGCTGTTATAAGCGGAGCTAACTCTGACGCCTCCAAATCAACAGAAACTGAAATGGGTTATTGACACTGATGAATCAAGTCAACCACAATTTTTTAGATCAAAGATGAAGGCTCTTTAAAGGGAAACCTATGTAGTTTTCAGTTGCACTACCAAACAGGAAGAGTTGAGATAATAGAAGCTAGACCTTGCTTTCTTTGATCAGAGCTTTGGTTTGATGAGGAATGAAGAAAAGTTGAGAGAGACAGAGAAGTGAAACAAGCAGAAAGATGCTAGGTTAACTTATGAGAAGTGACTTACTAATGATACCAATGACACTGAGTAGTGGGAAAGGTAGGAAAAGTGAGGTACTTCTGGTTGATAAGTGTTTACTTGATCTGGGTCTGGTTGTTGTGGTTCTGTGTTGGTCTGGAGTCTGAAAATCCTCTGGAAGCAGAATCAACAAGCTCAGAGAGGATTTTCAAATTTGGATTACGTAATCCGGCATGTACATGTGGTAGAGGGAGCTGAAACCTAAAGGCTGGATTAATTCTTGAAGTACTGTGAAATATTACAAAGTCAATGAAGGAATGGAGTTGAGTAAAAGTGACCAGTGGTGACTAGTGTTAATTTTACACCAGAAATACATTTCTGAAGTCAAAAAGGTCAAAAGTCTTCAGAAAAGAAAAGAAAAGATGATATATATTTGGAATAGGAATGGGCAGTTTTGGCAGTCTTTTGGCCAGCTTGGCTGGCTCTAAGGCTGACACATCAAATCTATCTATCCTTGGCATCCGACAACCCGTCAAATTTGAACATATCCCAGCGAGTTGAGTGACAACGACCAACCTCTGAATGGATGGACCTATTATCAGGAATCACTAGTCATGGCTCCATCCCACTCCAACTTGGTAATGGATCCATTCTCAGCTAACTACAAGGCTCGGCCAGGTGAACTGCCATCATCCCTATCAATCAAAAGCTATCGCCACAAACGAGTCGGACAACAGGATGCCCTTGAATGTGAACATGCTCAGTCAAAGCGGGCACAGAATGTCTTCTGTCCCTCCACTGCTGGCAAGAGGGATAGAGTGGTACACAAACGGATGCTCAGTAACCTGGAGAGCCTGCTGCCTTCACCCCCAATGAACACTAGCGGCTCAATAAGGCCTTCATCAAAACTACCAGCTTCAGAAGAAGTTGATTCAAAAAAGAAGTTTCAGTTTCCAGCCGAGACTGCAAACCCAAACCCTTTCGAGTCATCATTTCATACCCCACCCCGCCGATGTGGGATCTTCTTCTCTCCGCCGAGAAGCTTGGATACTCTCACTTCAAAGCAAACCAGATCCGAACAATTCACCAGAAGTGCTCATTGTCTGCAACCCTCCAAGGGAGAGACCAAAGCAACACTCAGATTGGAGAGCTACAACCGCTTTTCTTCTGCCTTTTCCCGTGCAATCATTCGTGGTGATATTAGTCTTGATCTCGAGTAAGTACCTGTTTACTTCAAAACTCCCTTGTTTCTTTGCTCTCCAATCCACTAATTTATCCTTTCTCTGATGATTCCCGACCTCAAGAAACTGGTAGAGGAGCAAAAAACTGCGGCTGGTCATCTGTAGGACAAGGTGAAGGTGATGGCCCTGATTGAGAAGATGGTAAATCCAAGTGGGACAAGCAAAAGTGGAGGGGTCCGACAGTCGCTAACCTGGGTAAAATTGGTGCCATCAGACTCGTTTGCACCACACCCGACTGCCTCGCTGTTCCTGTAGAACAACCAGTTGACCTCAAGTCCTTTTGGTCAACTTGACCAGATCTGTTACTTTCAAGGACTCGAACAACTAAGTCTACGCTTGAATTGACTGACCAAAATCCCATAAGCGATTGGAAGGCTCAAAAACTTGAAAGTTTTTTAATCTCGCCTACAGCAAACTTGAGTTCCTGCCCTCCTTGATCCTCAAGCTAACCGAGTGCAAGCTGCTTCTTAACGGCAATCCCAGGCCTAAGCTTCCCATTCCATGGCTCTCAGAATCCCAGGGGGTCTTTTAATTTTCTCTATCCGCAAAGACGCTTGTGCCCATTGACGATTCGCTATCAGCTCCGCTCCCAAGCTTACTTGAAACCTGTATCCAAAAGATGTGCATAACCAAGGATCTCAGCAGCAAGAACAAGACACTCATCATACAAGATGATGATGATGATCTTGACCATAATTGCTTGTATCCCCCTTCTTCATCCACCAAGTCACCTCATCCGTCTACAGAAATTCCCTCTGTATTGCCCGCCCAAATCCAGAAAATTATCAAGCACCCTGCCTCATACTTCTATCACTGCAACCTGTGCACCGCCAAGTTGGTCTTGAAACCTGGCGTGCTCCCCCATCCCCCTTCAGCTCAAACCTCTCCCCATCCTCAACACGCTTTCCATTTTGGAACCCTTGGCTTGTGCGGTCTCGCGCCCTTCACCCAACCCCAACCCCAGCGCCAGCCCCAACCTCATACTCCTGATCAAAAGATCAACTTCAATCATAATCATTTGATTCCCATTTGCTGGAATATCTTTAGTCTTACCTGTTGCATTGAGCATCTCATTACAACTTAACCCCCCCTACTTCTTTGCTTCATGTTTATTCTTTTTTGCTTGTATTGAAAATTCTGTCAATACCAAAAAAATCCAGCAGCTTATTGTTCCCATGGAGGCTGAAAGTAAGAAGGTATCAATTTTGCTATGAGGTTTATTGAGCCATATGAGGCAATGAGTACCACTAAATATCAGACTGATAGACTTAAGGCCACTGGGAAGGAGGCCACATCTTGAATGTAAGCAGTCAAAGTGATGGGGTGGGGGAAGAGATCCATCCAACTGGAGTTGCAAGTGTGTTGAGCGATGAGGCTTTCAATGGCGGAGTTATCTAAACTTATTTTGAGGGGGAGGGAGAGAGAGCAAGTTAGCAAGCATCACCCACAGTGATAAAAGTGACAAAGACTGGGAGCTCTTGGCTTGCTTTCCAGGTCTTCCCAGGAAGACTTCTTCGGAAGAACTTGAGGAAGACTTCTCCCAGGAGAACTACAGGTTCTCCAAGGAAGACAAGGTACCTCAGGAATCACTGCAAATGTGATTATATCAGATTCCCACATCTGGCATTACATCAGATGAAAGCCTGATTTTACATCAGGCAAAACTGGTATTATATCTATCAGGAGTGATATTATATCTACCCAAAATCATGTTATATCTATCTCAAGAGATATTGCATCAGCCCAACCTATTTGAGGTTTGGCTGCAAAATCCTTCCATCCCAAATGGAGGAAACCTGTGTACACATCTTCCACTTAGAATGGAAAATGGCTGAGTTGAGCTTGCCCAAATTTTTCAGCTCATCCAGCTCAGTCAGCTCTTGGACCCAGCTCATCCAGCTCAGTCAGCTCAACTCAGCTCCCAGACCCAGCTCAGTCAGCTCTTGGACCCAGCTCATCCAGCTCTGAAATCCAGCTCATCCAGCTCTGGGATCCAGCTCATTCAGCTCTGAAATCCAGCTCATCCAGCTCATCCAGCTCTGGGATCCAGCTCATTCAGCTCTGAAATCCAGCTCATCCAGCTCAAAAACCAGCGGTTTCCTCCATTTGGGATGGAAGAATTTTGCAGCCACAGGTGACCTATTTAATATCAACATAACTGATTTTATATCAGATTTTTATATCTGATACAAGTTTTTAGCCCATAGGCATTACATCAGATGGAAAAATCTGATATGAATTCAGTTATGTTGAAATTTAATAGGTTAGTCTGATTTAACATCTTTCATAATAGACACAATATCATTTTAGGTAGATATAATATCAATTCTGGTAGATACAATCCCAGTCTTTCCTGATGTAATATCAGATATTTTTATCTAATGTAATGCAGATTTAGCGATCTGATACAATCATTTTGGCAGTGAATAGTTTTCCCTAGTTTTCCTTCTCACCAAACTGGCCATGCACTTTTCTGAGGAGTTTTCCTCCTCACCAAAGTGGCCGAGCACTTTCCTAAGGACGTTTCCTTGGTTGGTATCAGTTTCCTTTCAGTTCAATTGCAATAAATTTTAGAATAGATACAGTGATGTCAATTTGATTATGAATAAATCCATCACTGTTTGGCTCTGTCAGCAATTTGAGCAAAAGTAACTGTTATTACGTTGGTGTTACATGATCTAAATTATACCTCTCTGGCCAATCCTCCTCCTCACAGTGAACATGAACCCAATAGATACATTTTAGATGCGGGTTTCCATGATTTGATTTGATTTTCAGGAGCACTTGCAAATAGGGCTGTAATTTTGTGTTGGGGACCGTGAATTCTTGAACGTTTGTCAAACCGTCTATTCTGTAAGTACCATCAACCAATAAATCTCCCTCCTGGCTGCCGTGATCCAATCCCCAAAGCTCGAATTCTTTGGGTGCAGTTCAAATATCATATGCCAAAGAACGGGAAACATGCCGAATTGTAATTCCTTTGACTCTGATTGCTTGTGAGAGTTGAATTCCAATCTGACCAGTTGTTCCATGGAAAGGCCAGCATTTCCCCAGGCTTAGATTGGAAAGAAGTACGGTAAGTGAAGGACTGCTGGATATTTTCTGGAATTTTTGGTAAAAAGGAAATCTAGGTGTTTGTATTTTGCAATGGTAATTCCAGGTTGGGGACATCAGGGATTCAACTATGGATGTGCCAGCAGAAAAGATAGAGAAGTCTTTCTTTGTGTAGTGGATTAATCCTTTCCCTTCTTTTAATTCTATTGGAAATTTGTGGCTGGAGTTTTCCCAAGAACATGTCATCTTCCAGCGTTTCTCTATCTGGAAAAGGCCCTCATCAAATTTGGACCTTTTGACTCCTTCCATAGCTGAACCAATGAGACTTGTAACATGTTTGGACGTTTTCAGGGCTTGTTTATGTAGATCTCGTAAGTGCTGATCGAGAAGGATAATCTTACTGTTAAGAGATGATTGCTTCTGGGTGATAACTATCCAACCAAAAAAACCACTGTTAGTTCAAAATCTTTTGGAAAGAATCACATGGTAATAGCTACATTAAATGGACCACCAAACTTATTAATACGGTTGACACAAATACCAATGTCAAGGCACTGAACCATTTCTTGAGGCATTTCCATCCAATCGCAGCTTTCCTTCCAAAATTTACGACAGATTTTGGATAGGTTTCCCTCGAATTGTGTGAGAGTCGTCGAGGCATCTTGTCTTGTGTATGTATTGGAGCGGTTAAGGGTTGTCAGGGGAGACACAGCATCTGCCCCTGACCAAAGCCAAATCTGCTGTAACACGCGCTGTGGAACTCCTATCGTGCCAGGCGGTAGGCAGTTGGTTGAAGGGAAAGTGCTTTGAGGGCTGCCTTCAAGTGGGGTCTGGATGAGTGAGCTGTGATCTGAACAAAAAGTGTTGGGGTTGGCTGGTTTTCTGAGAGGAGACAACAGAATTTGATTTCTGTGGCGGTTGTTGAGGTTGAGGATCTGTGAAGGTGAGTATGAGGATCAGATGAATCAATGATAAAAAGATCAATAATATTTGATGGGTCTATCTTGGATCAGGTCAGAGTGCCATGCTTCCCCATCATCTCAGTTCAAACTGAACTTTGACTCTGGGGAGTGACATGTCACAGACATGTCATCACATCCCTAACTACAACACAACTCAACCAAAAAACAAAAACAAGACCACACTACACAACACTACACAACACAACACACACAACACAACACAAAAAAACAAAACAAAACAAAACAAAACAAGACAAAACAAAACAAAACAAAACAAAACAAAACAAAACAAAACAAAACAAAACAAAACAAAACAAAACAAAACAAAACAAAACAAAACAAAACAAAAAAATAATCAAGAGTGAAATAAACCAACATGCTAAGATGTCTTAGGACCAAGAAAATTAAACAAGACTGTCTACTGAGTAGGTGATTTGAAAAAGATAAGTAAGAATAATAAAATGATAAAAAATAAAATCAAGATGAATAAAAAAATAACATGAAGAGTAAATAATAAGAGGAAAAGAAATAAAATAATAAAATGAGGAAACCATTGGACTGAGTGGGGATTGGAGGTGATATTTTTGAAATCTTGAGGCTTGAGGATATTGAAAAGTTGAAAGTTGAAATTTGAAATTTGACCTTGAGGGAGCCTATACCGTTTAGAACACCACAGCGCGTTACATGCCTGAGACTTGCCGCAGCAGGTGATCAGACCCCAACACTCTCCACATCCTTTCTCAGATCTTCTCTTGAATACAGTGCAAATTCTTTTCATTGCCAGGCCGCTGATAAGCTGGAAACTTTGGGATTTTCAAGTTCCAAAACAAATTATGGAACCACTAATAATAGTATCACAATTTTTTGCAGCAAAGCAAGTTCATACTGACAGAAGTTGGTCACAATTCCCGCAGCAGCTGGACCGTTGGAGGTGCTCTTTGGAGTGTCTATGAAACATGAAATATAGAAGAACATGGAGCTTTTGAAAAAGCTTGAGTAACTCAAAAATTGACAAAGGTGTGTTGAATTTCAGCTAAAAAAAGGAAAACAGGAGGCAGGGATTCAAGTATACAAGGAGGATGTTTTGGTTTCCGGAACCTGTAAGAAAACCAAAATATCAAGAAAGAGAATAGATCCAATCGAAAATAACTGAGCCACTATCATTTTATGGTATCTAATTAGAATCAAGTGAGCTGCTATGCCAGCCTTGGATATTGTCCATGTTGATGAGGCAATCTGGCATTGCTTTCAATCCTTCCAATTGCTCTTGGTTCAGATGTTGAAGAACATTCTCCTCATAGCAATCTCGAGGAAGCCCAAGTGAGACATGTGTATGGCAGGCAAGAGGCTTAGTTTTATTGGATGGTGGTGCTCTAGTCGCTGGAAGCCGGCCTGGCTTCCTTGTTGTGGGATCCTTGTACAGATCCATTGTACGACGTTCAATGTGCTCAATCAGCTTGGTGGCTTTTGCGCTACAAAAAGGCAGAGGAATACGGGTTTTGATCTTCGGAGTTTTGAAATCACTATCATCATCGGAGCAAAGCCGTCCATCCTCAAACAAGAAAGCAAATCGCTCCAATTCGGCAAAAGAATTACAAGTCTCTTTTCGTTGCTTTGCCAACTGGAGGTATGTTAATAAATGATGTTAATAATTAATACCAGCTCTACATGTTCACCAGAATATTTAATCTTGACTTACTCTTTTTCTCTTTTGAAATTGACGGTCACTCTTTTGGTTACGAGTCACAGCACCCGGATGCAACTCCTCACGATTTTGGGTAGCAATCCTATGCTCCAAAGCATGTATCAGAAGTTTTTGCGCTTCTGGGACCGTTGGAGGGTCAAGTTGTTGAGCATATACGTCGATGAAGCAATTCTTCTGGCAAGCAGTGATAAATATGTCCACGACATATGCTGACACTCTAAGGTTCCACAATCAACACTTGTGCTCTGTAGGGCTTGCCCAAGAGAATTTTGGGATTTAATACTGTCTGGCCCGTTCTCGGACGTACAAAAGCAAGTCAAAAGAGGCTGGCAGGTCTGGGTCCAATGGGCTTGTGTCAATCGTCTCTGCAAACTTGATGGACGGTGTTTTGGATCTGGATTCCATCCTATTCTTTGGACTTCTTTGGTTGATAACAAATGTGGAGCGTTGGGGCCTAGACTGGTGTACTCATTTAAATTATATGTGTCATTCTGGAGAAGCTCGTCAATCAATTTCAAAGGTTTCAAAAGAGACATTTCATCCTCAGTTGGATGGGGGAGCGGAGGGTCTTTCCTTTGCTTTTGTTGTGCAAGATAGTAAATAAAAAATTGCATGGCCCGGTTCTGTAGAGGCAAGATGTCAAATCTCTTTTCAAGCAAGCTTGAAGTGCAAAAAACGTACAAGTACAAGGCTGTCATGCCTCTCTGCCGCGGTACAAAGGTTGGGCTGTTGGCACTTCTGTGATAGGTTTTCTATCTTATCCTTACGCTTCATTGATGATGGTGTTGCATTTTCCCATGGGAGAGAATGGGTATGTCAGCCTCTATGCTACTAACCTGTAAGGGTTGTGCTCTGAGTGTTAACAAGAAGAATAATTGAGAAGGTTTATTCGTGGTTAAATCCCTCAACCTGTAAAAGAAACAGGGAGGAGTCAGTGAGGAATGGTACTTCTACTGCTGACTCATCCAATTATTCAATTGGGCATCCGGATCAATCCTCTTGCATGGATTAATAGGCTTCCAAGGTGAGGACTTCTTCAACTCACTTGGGATAAATCTTTTAACAACAATTCAGATTAATAAGTGTATCCACACTTAAGGACCAGAATTGTTTAACCTGGGGGATAATTCTTTATGCAATAGAGATAAGTAGAAATGCCTTGAATCTGAGCAAAGTAAATCTATTTAGGTCTAAGGTAGCAGGTTTGTAATGTTATTGGTGGGTTGAATCACTAATAATCACTGTACAAGTGTTGGTTTGATGCTACTGGAATTTCCTGGGGGGAAAAGGTAGGAATCTGAGCTCCTTAAATATTCTACAGGGGGCTCAGGGGAAGAGGAGAGGCCCTCAGGGCACTAGGGAGCTTCTTAGCAGCTCTACAATTTCGTGTAAGGATGGGAGCTGCAGCTGTGCAGTGCTATGCATGGGTGGAAGGTCCTAGGACATGAGATCATACATGCATAATTGAGTTTTGTGGCCTATTTCTCACGTAATTGAAAGGCTACAGTTACTGTGCAGTGGCTGTGCAATTGTAGAGTTGGTTGCATACGTGTAACTCTGCTTATGCAAGCTTGTGATCATGAGAAATGCATGTCCTTCATGCATAATTCAGTCTTGCATGTAGAATTTGAGCTCTTTTCCCGTGTAGGCTGCTTTGAATTATGCAAGCTTTGAATTAGAGCACAAAAGGGTCCTGATGGCGCCATCCAAGAGGGTTATGATGCAATCTGATGCCCTGATGATGTGATCAAGGATGGGTAAGCTTCAGATAAATGTATATAGCTTATTCCTCATCCATTTCACGCTTCTACTAGCTGATTCTTTATACATGTGTAATTATTTATGGCTTATAAAATATGTACATAATGTATAAGAATAAACATTGTTTTAATACTTTATTCTAATGATATTTCTGTGAAATCCTAGTGATATTATATGTACTATACTCAAGGGGATTTCACAGTAATTTATAGAATTATTAAATATAAATTATGAATTAAGATTAAATGTAAATACATATTTATTGATTGATTATTTTAACAACAATGTATAGTATTTTCCAGTATTCAATTATTTATTATTATTGCAGTTACTAGGTACATTTCACGTACTGTGAAATGTGCTCTGTGGCTGACAGGGTAGGAGTAGAAGAACTGCAGTTTGCCTGTTGCTGATTCTGTGGGGGCAATTTTGGGATTGCGGACGGTAGCTGAGGGTGCGGAGGTTCAGGTGTTTTTTCTATGGCTTCAGAGGTAGGTATTGATGTGCTTGTCTCTGGAATCTCCACAATTCCTGATTTTCCATTGTTTAATGCTGTGTTTAGAAGGTTATGAGCGGATGTTAATAACCTCACTCTGATTGGTGTATACATCCATATCCTTGGGTTGATTTAGGCTAATCGATGTTCCTGGAGAAGATGGTGCAATGGTTTCGGAATCAATGAGAATAGCCCCGTCTCCTTTTTCCTTTATTTGAGACATCACTGCATTAGCCCACATGTAGTTCTCCCAAATTATTAAGCTACTGCAGTGTACATACCTCTGAGTTTCCACAGAAAGTTGTTTTAACCCTCCAAGTTTTTATGCTTGAATCAAGATCTTGTTGTGTTTGCTGAATATACATCCATTAATACTCTTGCCACCAGGAAATTGTTTGAGTAACTTGCGTACCTCTACCAAATCAAGCTTATCCCTAACATTTTTCAATTCTTCCATGGCAAGCTGATGTCCTGTTGTTTGAAGAGTTGAAATATCGCGCTGAAAAATAGGTGTCAGTAAGAAAAAGATGTGTAACTTAAACAAAACAACACACCTGGAGAGCGGTTATTGCCGTCTCAAGATCCTTCATATTATTGGTGGTGCCAGCGGCGGCATTTTGTTCAGAAGCTTGAACCAGTTGTTCCTGCCTCATGTTCAAGGCTTTGCAGGACAAACAATAGGGACGTGATCAGAAAGCTCTGGTGTGGGATTATCATTGACAGTTACTGCGATGAACCAACCTCAAGATTTCTTAAACGCTGGTCAAAACTACCTGTTCTCTCAAGACTTTGATCTACGCCAGACTTGAGATGGTGAATTAGCACCTCCACTTTTTCAAAGAAATCAAGTACATTTTTGAAGCCGTCTAGCTCTTCTTGTTGCAACTGCAGATCTTTGCCCATATTTTCTGGATCTAAAGAGGAAAGCTGATAATTGCAATTTTAGCACATTATCTTTCAGCTATCCAAAGAGGATAAATACCTTGTGGATTTTGTTAGTGTCCTGTATCTGTAGACGTGTTTGGGCAGACTCAACCACCTCAGCCTTCTTCTCAAGGTCGGAAATTCTTCTCAAGGCATCCTGAAACTTGTCTTTGTGGTCTTGTAACTTGGACGTGTCAGCTTCATCTGACAGGTCAATCTTCATCTGGAATGCGCGTAGGTCATTGTTTGCGTCAAAAGACTACCTTTTTAGCTGTCCTTCATATTTCGCTTTCAACTGTTCGATGGTCAATGCATCGGATCATTGAAATCTCAAGTCTCTCCTGTGTAACTCCCTTTCAATCTGTTCAGCGTTGGCTCGCATGATTTGTTTGTGATCAATCGATCCAGCCAAGACAATCTGGTTTTCTTCTTTCAAGTTGACTTGAGGATAATTTTTCATATGATTTTCTAAATGCGAAGCTCTGCTTTCAAGATTGCAGAAGTTTTTCTCAGCATTTCTTAGGTCGTTAACGATTTTATCACAAGTTTCTGTAGCTAGTCCATCAAGATTCCCTTGTAGTTTTGAACATTTGGTTTCCCACATCGAAGTCAGTTCTGCAATCCTGACCTGACTGGATTGCGACAAGTGATTGATCTTGTCCTGAATTCTGTCATTGGTGACATAATTCTTCATTGCAACAGCTTTATCAAGTTCATGCCGAAAGGCATCCTGAACGTTGTGAATTGCTTGCTGGACATTGGAATTAAGTTTGACTTCAAGCTTGGTCTTGAAAGCAAGTGAGCTATTTGTAACGTGTTCCGTGTATTGTTTTCTGATTTGCTCGGGTAACTCTTTGAATTGGGTCACTAATTCTCTCCCAAAGGTATTGAACTGGGACCGTAAGTTGAAAAGTTCACCTTGGGCCTTTTCAATCCTCTAAAATCAAAACCATCACGTGAGTTTCTTAGCAAGTTCAACTGAATATCCAAGGGCCTACCTCTGAATTTGCTTTGAGAGTCACCAACTGAGATTGACTATTGAAATGATCAAGCGGCAATATCTCCTGAGGATATTGGTAATGTCAGTACAATTCTTTCTTAAAATTAGTTTTCCTGTTCTCACCTTGTTGGAAGGTTGTTCATGTTGAGAGTTAGCTGTTTGAACTTGATAGGATTGGTGTTTCCATTTCTCAATTGAGGCCTGTGGGAAGGAGAGAAGTGTTAGAGTGCTTCACATCAAGAACAGGCATCAAGGAGTAGTTCAACCTGTCATTTTTTTTTCAGTTGTGGAATGTGCCTTGTTAAAAGTGGAAAACCAATGGTCAAATTGTAGAAAGATGGATTCCCCTTCAGTCTAGAGATGCTTTTGACATTAGTAAAAAAAACTTGCAACTCTTATTCAGTGGGTTGTCTCAGACCTTGAACTTGTCAAATAATTCCTGTAGATTTGTGTGAGTCAGCATTCCTTGCAGACAAGCCATAATGGGAAAGGAAACTCACCATTCTGGCGGCAATCTGATTGACTTTTTCTTGCATTTGAGTTTCACATCTTTCCAAGTTTGTTTTGAACTCTCGAACCCTGTTGATGGATGGTGCTTCAATCTGAAGTGGAGGTCCTCCTAGACTTGCAGAGGTTTGCACTGGATTCCAGGAGTAGGGAGTTTTCTTGGCCATCATACAATCAAAAACCAAGAAAAGTAGTACTGAGATGGGGAGAGATAATTTGGTGATTTTTCCGGAAAGTAAACAGTGCAAGCCTTTGACCACACCTTGTGTGTCAAGGTCCTTAATAAACTCAAGTCAGCCTTGTATTTATTATGGGCTGTGAAGCATATCCTGGATTGAACCTCACTGAACAAGGAAATTACAGTACAAATGATGAATAGCCCGTGAAGAACCAGGCGAATACATCAATGATCAATCATTAAAGTGTTTCTTTTGATCCTCGTGCATCACAACTAATGGTCCCTCTTTTTTGATTTTGATTCTAGTACAGCATCCAAGCCCTGTGCAACAATATCTTGTAGGTAACTGCGCACCATCCCGCCAGATTGATTGAATATCTACACCCGGGCATAGATCAGTAAGAACGTACATCAAAATACAATCTGCCAATAATCTTCAAACAAACCTTGGTGCTGAGAATGTTGATGCCGTACAATTTCAACTACCTGTGCCAACACTCCAACCCCGACCGGAGAACAAACGCAAGATCCACAGATTGTTGGAGCTGCGCAAGTAAATGTCGTTGCTGCTGGCTTGTTTTGGTCCCGGTTTGCTTGATTTTTTCTATGCTCTGGTTGAAACTATTGATGAGCTCATCATGATGGCCCAATGCTGATTTGGTCAACAAACTTGTAACTTGAATCATCTGTGTAAGAGCCGTCAGGTTCCTTTGATTGCGGGTTGGTTTTGTTGTCTTGTTTGTTGTGCCGTTTACCAAACCTTCAGTTGAACTGTGAATTCCCTCCCCATCCTGAATTAAATTGTTTTTCAGGATTTTGGTACTTGTATCTTGCAGATATATAATCATCAAACGACTCACCTGAAACACAAAGAACAGCATGGCATTGAAGCCATCAATTCCCAACGTATGAAGGTGATCATTCAAGCTGCGGATCACTTGACCGGTTTGTTTCAATGAAAAGATCAGGCAAACATAAATTATTGTAGCAAATTTTGCAGAGCTGTACGTTTGGGCCAGCCGATCGTAATCTATGAACTCAAAGTCATTGGGGCCGTATTGAATTAATGTGATGATTGAATCAAATATGCCTAGATTCTTCGAACCGTTGCAAAACTGGATTGGGGGAAAGTAGTCTGGTGGCAGGAATTTTGGTACAATTTTGCTTTTGGCTTTCTTCTGATCTGGAGGAAAGACGTGACGGCTGATGTAAAGCAATGCAATGAGCAACAGGCCCAATAGCATACCCACCACAAACCCATGCTTAAGAGGCAAGCCAAAGACTATGGTAAAGAGAGCGGCGCAAGAGAAGAACATTTCTATTGGGCTTGCTGGCTTGTGTATTGCGATGAGTGTTGAAGACAGCCAGTCCTCCACTTAATATTGATGGTATATGTAAGTTTTCCAACCTTGGGAAGTTGGAAAGTTCACAAACTTTCACCAAGAAATTCATGTGAATTGGGTACATACCACAATTCTACTTGGTGCCCCTATTCACGGAGCAAGAAGGGGGTACCACAATTCTACTAGGTGCCCCTATTTATGGTCCGGCGGCTAAAATTCAGCCATGGTTGCCTGTGGTTGGGTAACACTGACAGGCCATTTTAACCTGGGTGCCCTCAGCCCCCATCAATGGGTGTTGGATTTCTGGTTGCATTCAAAATCTCAGGCATGGCTAAACAACACAAGTATCAAAGCCAAATGAAGTGAGTATGAGGACACCAGAAACCATAAAGTAACACTACAAAGGAACACTACTGAGAGACAACTACAAAAACCCCACATAGCAGCACGTGGCCTATCAATATCAAGATGACTCAGACAATTTCAAGACAGATGAGAACCAATTCGTTGAAACCATAAATCGATTCTTTGAACAAATTGGTCAATTCCATTACATAAATCACCAACTTTATGCTCCAAGTTATCCAATTGTTGTAAGACCATATCAAGTTCTCTCTTGGCCTCATCTATGCAGAACAGGAGGATCATTGTTAGTTGTGGGAAATATTCAGAAAATATTTATCAACTAATGTGACCGTGAATTTGAAAGATCCAAGCTTTCATGTAACTTATCCACCTTTTCGTCCAAGCAATCCAAGCAATGGAAGATTTTTGCGAGGAATCCTTAGATGTGTTCAAATCCCAGAAGAAGGCCCATTAGACGTTAGCGCACTTGGAGGTAAATTTTGATGTAACTTGATGTTCTCAAAGTGAAACTCACCTTTTTGAGTGTCCTCCGTCTTTGTGTGAACTTCTCTGGCTAGTGCTTTGAGGCTTAGAGAAATGCTACCAAGGTGCTTCTTTAAATCACCTGTGGGGCATGGAATCTATGAGGTTGTATGGCAAGCTTCAAAGTGATGTTTTTGATCCAAATTGAATGACATTTACCTGCTTTTTCATACAACTTGAAGTTTTGAAGGCAAGCGCAAGGGAAGTGAAATTCCATCTCCAGTGCTGTGTTTTTGATTGATGGAGACAAAGTAACAAGTTGAGTTGAGAATAATCATTTAGGTTTTTGTCTCTTCCAATTTTGTATACTGACGGGTTTTGGGTGAAGTGGAAAGGGGCAGTTCCACAGGTTGATCAAAGCATGGCTCAGCTAATGGGGGACTGAAAATTCAGACATTAATCGGGCAACAACATTGATGCTATGACAGCTTACATACATATTTTTTGCTGGTATGAATTGCTGAACAGATTGCAAATCAAATGTTGGCTCAGTGATTAAATCTAGTAGGGATATGACATGCAAAAAAATAACTAACATGTCTGATCTAAATCAGGAATAGAATGGGCATCTGTTTCTATCACTGAGGTTTTGGGTGCTTCATCATCCATTGTTTGGGCGGTTATTTGAAGAAAGCTTGGACTAGGAATATTTTTGGGTGGTTATTTGAAGAAAGCTTGGACTGGGAATGTTAAGTTGCTGCAGCAAATTTTGAGCAAGCCATGAGCCCCTTGAGTCCCATTTGATAGCCGGCTGCATTGCATCAGGGGTCCAGCCACATTGTTTGAGCCTAGGCTGCTTTCTCCGCGGCCATGCAAAGCAATAGGAGATTTGGCTGGAAGCCTCTACACAACCGGCGCAAGTGCTAAGGACAGTTCAGAAAACAGATGAATTTCCCCTAACATTGTCAGATCTGAGGGATCTTGTGGTGGAATTACATATTTCAACCTGCTGGGAGATCCACCGGCTTTACAATTGTCAGGAGATCATGGGCCCCTATTGGGTGACGGCTCTACTCCAGCCCATGAGCAGCGTGCGGTTGCTCGAGCCCAAATCATAACAATGAAAACTTGGCCAAAGGGGGTCAAAACCTGTCTCTGAAACAGTTTGATGCTGGAGTCCTGAAATTCATTAAAATGAAAGAGAGAAATTTCCCCGAATGATTCTCCTGAATGCAGCTAGTAATACATGGCCTAGGATCTTCAACCCGTGGCGCAGTTTGGCTTTTGGTTGGGGCAGTGGCCCCAGAATCGAGGCGCTCAAGGCACTGCAAGACTGGATAGAGAACCTCCCAAGATGACAGCTTTGGCCATGTTTTGACCTCATCAAACTGGTCAAGCCGGTTCTCTGAGGACTTGGGGGGGGGGGGTCCCCCCCATTGGACTAACAGAGGGGCCCAAACTGTACAACACTACTGGGTGAGGTGGGCAGGAACACCATGCCAAAGGCTTTCCAAGCGGAGCAGTGAGGCCGCGCAAGATTTTAAGGCAGTCTTGAGTCTTAGCTTTGCAGGGATGGAAACTGTGGCAAGGGGCCTCACCTTGGGGTTTCCAGAGAAGTCAGAGTATAAGAGGGAGGTATTGAATTACTTTGATCTGACTCGTTAACCAAGCCCTCACCCTCTTTTCTTTCTCTTTAACTCCTCAATCCGCGTTTTTTTTTGGGCTTACCCCACATGGCGGTGAGGATGTTTGTGAGCCCTCCAAGATTGAAAAGAGGAAATGATTTGATCTGAGAGACCAATTACAACTGGGGGTTCAATTTTATGATTAAATTAAATTGACAAAACAAATAATCATTCAGGCCAGGACAAATAAGTGGCAATTCCAATTGATGAATCCACATGAGAAATAATAACAGCAATCCATTTGGAAAACAAAACAACCAAGTGAAAATATGATTTAGGAGTCAATTAAATTCCTTTATCTCACTTGTGAGCTCCGCTTGTAATCTCGATAATATTTCTGAACCAAGCTGGCATTGTATTTGGGATACAGTGGTAACCAATAAGTTGGGGGGCTGTATATCTATGAATAATGAAGTAAATGTTCAGCAAAGCAATGTGAATCTATTTTGACGGATTGTAAAATACCTGGTTACTTTGTAAAAAGTGGGCTGCATGCCTAGCAACGGCGGTGAAAGAAATTTCCCGGCTCCACATGGCCACCAAAAACCGCAATGGGGGTTCCTTTAGCTCTTCTGAGAAGTGGTATTGAGTGACGCCGTGGTGAAGTATTTGAAAAGGCCCATGGAAGGAGTAGCTGTGGAGGCCAGTATATGCCACCCCAAGGGATGGCAAAAGGAATTCACCCCCACAATGATTGCCAAAGAAAACGGAATCAAAGAGAAGTGCATTTTTTTGGTCGCGGGGGTGTGGATTTGTGTATTTACACTTACTGTGCAGGCTGGGTAATCCATATCAGTTGAATGCAACACAAGAAAAATGTGAAGCCCACTTACCAGCAAGAATCGTGTTTTTTTTTTACTTTCAAAGATTCTTTGATTGAATTTCTGCCATGTTCATTCATGTACTTGACTCCATCTATGGCTACTTGAGTTGAGTCAGGTAGAAATGAACTATTGATAAGAAGACTCAACTGTGAATAAAAGGTCATTTCATTTCGCAACTTTGTAATGGCATCGTGATCATCAACATTGGGGCATTTGCGGAGGGGATCGGGGAGTTCAGGAATCTTGAGAGCAGCTTTCCAGGTGTCTCCGCAACCTTGAAGTTCATCAAGTTTGATTGACCGCGTAGTG